TGGGGGCGCCCGGTGGAGGGGGAAGGGGAGGGGCAGAGCAAGGGGGCAGCAGGCCTGGTTCTCTTGCAACTGGCAGGCCAAGGGCTGGGAACAGGATGCAGCCAGCCGCAGGAATGAATCGCGGCTGACGCAGGGGAGGCCGGCTGGCTCCCCAGATGTTTCTCATACAGGCTGGGAAGGGGGATGGGGAAGGACAGCTGTGTTCAGCCAGAGGTGGAGGGAGGGGACATGGAGCCAGACTTTGCGCCCAGGTGGGGGACGCCTCTCTGTGAACGTGGCCCCGATGCCAGGGGTGTCTCTGAGCAAGGATGCTCCCTGCCTTCTTGTCCTGCCCCACCGCCGCTGCCAGTCCCAACGTCCAGGACCTTTTTCTAGGGCGCCCAAAGGCACGGCGGAAATGGGCCCCCAACCACATCGGCTCCTGGGCTTTCTGGGAGCCGTGGGACTATTGGGATGGTGAGTACGGGAATCCACTCTGCGCTTCCTCCCAGCTGCGCCTGGCAGCCTCCCGAAGCCTCTGAAGAGAGACCGGCACTTGGCTTGGCTTTGGCGGGGGGCGGGGGGTACTGAATGCTGCTGCTCTGCGGCCACAAGTGACCATCAGGGATGGGACGTCAGGCTGGGCTGCCAGGAAGAATAATAAAGCAGCTAATCAGGAACTTGGCAGAGAACCGCCCCCCCATCCCTCCCCCCCAAGCATTCTTTGCCTCCTGTGTCTAGCTGGACAAGGCTAACAGCTTCCCCACTTCCACTTCCGCTGTAACTGGTCATTAGCAAGGATTTTTCGGTCTCCAAAATGAGTGTTTTGCTCTTCTACTCCCCTCGCGGGCCTCTCTCAGCAGCACAGCTGCCCCCGCCCCCCCGCTCTCCACGGAGGCCACCCTCATGACTTCAGGCAGGGTTCTTGCCTGCCCTCCCCTCTGGCTTTGTGATCCATCAGTCTGGAACCCCCTCCAAAAAGAACAGTCTGCCCCTGAGGGTGAGGGTGGGAGCTGAGCGTCCAGATCATTCCTTCTGATGCAGGTTGGCCCGCATGCAAGAATGCACGCAAAGTCAGGTTGCAGAGTAGAATGACACCCCTGGCACGGGCCGTGGAGAGATTTTTCACGGTTTGCATGTGGGCATGTGTCCGCAAGAATGCCTGGTTGTTTCTGACTGTATGAGCCCTGGATCCATGCACCCTGGCATGCGTATTTGTGCTGAGCATCTGCCTGTGGCTATGCACGTCCCTGGGACAGGTTTGCAGGAGGTGAGTATGTCTGCCCTGAGTTGGGTCATGCACACGAGCTGCTTGGCTTCCCTACGCTTCTTCAGGGAAGCCTTCTGGGACACCCCACTCACACGCACGCCCATCACTCTGCCTGGCCATGGGCACTCACCTAATGGTGCAACATCTCTGGGTGCTTCGTTCCATCCAATATATTCAGTTTAGGTGCCACCCGACTCCAGAACAACTCTGGGCAGTTTGAGCCCAAAGGGACTTGTGCCCCCCTTTCCAAGCCTCTGCAAAGCCAGGCTGGCCAGCAAGAGAAGTCAAGGTTCTGCTCCTGCCAGCTATGTTCTGCATGGGAAAGGATACGCACCAGCCGCTGGCTCAGAGCAATGCTGGCTGGAGGAAACAGCTGTCTTGTGCCTGGGGGTTCCTTCTTCTCACTAGGCTCCTTCTTTATTTTGCAGAGCACCAGTTCTGCGGGGGGAAGCTTGAAAAAGCCCAAGGCTCTCTCAAGACCCCCAACTGGCCTGAAAGCGACTACCCGCCTGGCATCAGTTGCTCCTGGCACATCATTGCTCCACAGGACAAGGTATTGTTGCTGGAGGCAGAAATAGCTCTCAAGCCTCCCCTCTTTGCTGTGAGGGCAGAACTGCAAGCCACCCATTGCCACCCCAAACGTTGGTGGCTAAAACGGAGGAGCGGGAGCATGACCCCTCAGTTCCCCTCTGGTCTAGGTGATCGTGCTCACTTTTGGGAAGTTTGACGTGGAGTTTGACACATACTGCCGGTACGACTATGTTGCCGTGTTCAACGGTGGGGAGCAAGATGACTCACGCCGCATTGGCAAATTCTGTGGAGACAGCTCGCCCAGGTAGGTTTGCCCTTCTCATGCTGGGAAATCCCCCTTGGGTGGGTTAAAAGCGAAGCCTCTGGCCCAGGACGATTCCTGGCTTGGTCTCTCTGGAATCCGAGGCAGCAAATTCAGCGCCAGGTCCGCACTGGGGTCAGCAAAACCTCAAACTAGCGCCTCGGTTTGCCCTGCTCTTTCACCCGTGGAGCTGCAGATCCTCCTTTGCCACCAGTTTAAGGGGCCCTCTCATAAACAGCTCCTTCTCGGCACCCAGGGTTGCCATCACCAAAAAGGCACCCACCGAGCCCAGCTCAGGTTGGCAGTGCAGTTGGGTGCTTCTGGACTGCCCAGAGAGAACTTCCCCACCTTCCTCTCGCCCCCTCCCCGCAGCCCAGTCCTCTCAGACAGCAACGAGCTCCTGGTCCAGTTTGTCTCGGACCTCAGCGTCACGGCCGACGGGTTCTCCGCCTCGTACGTGATGAAGAATCGCGATGAGCCGGTGGACACCACGTGGACCCAGCCCACGGGCCCTGTCTTCCCAGGCTCCAAGCCCACTCAGACGGACAGGAAGCCTATCCCAGCTAAGCCCAAACCTGCAAGCAAACCTGGAGGCCCAGCCAAGCCATCACCACCCCCCAAGCCAACGCCCAAAGCCCTTCCTGATGCTGTGGGCCCCACAACTCCTGCTGCAGGTGAGGGCACTGAGGGAGGCAGGTGGTTTGTTTTGGGCCCAGCCTGGCCTGTGTTCTGAGCACAGGAGGGGCCAGTGTGAGCTGCTGGTGCTGAAGCAGGCCTGCACCCAGGGAACTCAGGGAATATGCCAGAACGTGGGCAGAGTGCACTGGCACTGGGCCCACCCTTCTTATCAGTGAAGCCATGGAGGGCAGAAGGGGTTCCTGGCCTTTTGTGTCTGCTCTGGGATCAGTCCTAGCTGTTCCTCTCGTGTCTCCATCCAGGTCAGGTCACGTGCCCAGAACGCTGCAAGCGCGCAGGGAACCTGCAGAGCAATTTTTGTGCCAGTGACTTCGGTAAGCTCCATAGGGGCCATCCTCCCAGCGTGGGATGCCCACATGCCTTCCACCTACCAACCTTGCCAGCCCCAGGAACCATCGCTGAGCAACCCCCAGTGATGGGAGCAAAGTCGTCACAGAATTGGGAGGGGCCCCAAAGTACACAAAGTCTGCCTAGTGCCTCCCTCGCCGCCAGCTTCTCACCCTCTCCCCAATATCCCATTTGCAGTGATCACAGGCACCGTGAAAAATGTTATGCGAAGAACAGGCACCGGGGTCATTGCTGCCGTGACGCTCATCCAGGCTTACAAGACGGGAGCCTTGAACCTCCCTCCAGAAGGAAATGAAGCCACCCTCCGCCTGGATGTGCCCTGCAGACAGTGCCCCATTCTCAAGAAAGGTGAGAGGGCGGGCAGTCCGTTGCTTGAGAGCGTTCTCTTCACAGGCGGCTCCTTCACTCAGATTCCCCAAATGCCCTCATCAGCGCAGCATCCCCCTGCCCAGGGGTGGGGCAAGACCGTGGGGGAGGGCGCGGTCTGGCCAGTGGCGGAAGTGGCCACAATTGCTGAAAGGCCGGGACACGATGCCAGGCTGCTTTCCCCTACTCTGTCAAGATCAGGAGGACCGTTCGGATGCAGCTTTTGGTGGGGGAAGAGGGCTCGGGACCCTCTCCTGCCCCTGGCTCAGTGCTCTCTCCTCGGCAGGGGCCAGCTACGTCTTCATGGGCAGGGTGGAGGCCGATGGAACTGGGCAGCTGCCTCCCACCAGTTTCGTGGTCCCCTTCCGCCAGCAGCAGCATCCGATCCTCACAAACTTCAGCAAGCGTCCATGCGCTGGTCCAGCCACCAGGAACTAGACCTGAGCGCCAGGAGGAACGAGGCGGCAGCAGCCTTGGCCGAGCTGCTCTGCTTCTCGGTCGTGGACAGGCTTCGGAGAAGCCGCCCGAGCGGCACCGTATAATCAATAATTTTGCGGGTGGGGGGAGAGGGAAGCAGTTCATGGACTCCCTGGGTGAAGAATTGCACAAATCGTTCCACGTTGTTCACACCCATGCCACTGTCTTAAAGGTATTTTTACACACATGTGCTAGCCTCTGTTGCTTGGCAACGTTGCGGGGCTCCCTCGCACCCCCTCCTGCTGCCCGACGCAGCAGATGCAGCACCCCCCAGGTGGATGCCCTTGATTGCTTAGGCATAGGGGCGGGGGGGCTGCTGGCTTCTGCAACTGAGAAGGGCCAGGCAGGAAGAAGGCCGGTTCCGGCTGCCAGGCCAGGCCATCCCCGCCCCCTTCCCTCCCTCCTGCCCACCCAGCCCCCAAATCTACTTCCGAGCTCTAGGAGCACAGTGCAGGGACGGCCATTTGCCCGCCAAACTCGGCTGGCCTGCGATCAGGCCTGGCCAGTGGCCTTCTGGCAGGCTGTCTGGCTGCAGAGCCGCCACTACGGAAGTAGGACCAGCCCCCTTCGGCAAGCCTGCCCCGGCCACGTCAGCAGCGCGGCTCGGTTGCGTTTCTTCTTCCACGGCAGCCTGAACGGGAAGCTCAGCCTGGCCTTTCCCTGGCGCCAGGTCCTCCGGTCTGGGCCCTCGCCCACAGGGCTTTCGCTTTCTCTCTCTTCTTTTGGGAGGCAGCCTGCCTTCGGGGCAATTGCTCCCCCGGCCGCCGCCCCCCCTCCCCCCAGAGCAGCTCCCCCGAGTGTTTTCTCTTTGTAACTGAGGCAGCCGCGGCCTGCAGTTGCCAGGATGGGGGGACCTCAGCTGGGCTGGGCTGTGGAGGGAGGGTGGGGAGGCTGCATGGAAGAACAGTGGAGCCAGCCGCATCTTCCTCTGGCCCCCGCCGGGTCACAAAGCTGGCTTGACCCACTGCTGCACTTTGACCTTCCCAGAACCCCCCGGCAGCCTCTTTCTGTCCTTCCTGCTGGGCTGGTGGCAAAATTGGGCAGACAAGCAATGGACATGTGTTGCTCCCCACAGAGGCCTGCTGAAAGGCAAGGCGTGCGGGCCTTCCTCCTCCTCCTCTTCCTCCTCCTCCTCCGTCTTTGTCCCAAGGCCTGGCTTTTTTTTGGCTTCCAAAGGAAGTTAGGAGTCTGCCTGCTTCCCACACCAGGGGCCCTTCCCTCACTTAATCAGGGCCAGAAGGCTTGGGCGGCAGGGCCTGAGCACCCCCTTGTGGTGCACGTGGGGCTGGCAGAAGCCCTGAGCGGAGCTCACTTTCCCTGCTGACCCGAAGTCACCCGGCCCAGGCCTCGAGCCAGGCGGAGCAGTGCTCCAGCTGTCCTTGTGGTGGTCATGGGGGGGGTTGGACTATTTCTGCTGCTCCAACATTTGGGGGG